GTACGATATTGTTTTATCATGTAGAACACTAGTTCTGTTTTTGTAATATAATAATAAGTCTACTCTGTACGATATTGTTTTATCATGTAGAACACTAGTTCTGTTTTGTAAAATAATAAGTCTACTTTGTACGATATTGTTTTATCATGTAGAACACTAGTTCTGTTTTGTAAAATAATAAGTCTACTCTGTACGATATTGTTTTATCATGTAGAACACTAGTTCTGTTTTGTAATATAATAAGAGTACTCTGTACGATATTGTTTTATCATGTAGAACACTAGTTCTGTTTTGTAAAATGATAAGTCTACTCTATACGATATTGTTTTATCATGTTTAAAACAGCCCGTGAAAATTGTGTTTTAATGACTTAGGGAAGAAGCATTATCAAAGAAACTCTGGGAGAAAATGTCTGTTCATGTATTTGAAAACATCTACCTTCCAGCTGCTCAGACTGAGAACTCGGGGTAGGTGGTCTTGAAAATATTGGTCTAATTTGATAATGATGTAACACAGCTGACAGAGTGCCAGATTTTGAATAGTAACAATGACTAGTGGTGTAAGAAAACTGGCAGAGTGCCAGATATTGACTAGTAACAATGACTAGTGGTGTAAGAAAACTGGCAGAATGCCAGATATTGACTAGTAACAATGACTAGTGGTGTGAGAAAACTGGCAGAGTGCCAGATATTGACTAGTAACAATGATGGTGTGAGAAAACTGGCAGAGTGCCAGATATTGACTAGTAACAATGACTAGTGGTGTAAGAAATCTGGCAGAGTGCCAGATATTGACTAGTAGTGTAACAAAACTGGCAGAGTGCCAGATATTGACTAGTGACAATATCTAGTGGTGTAACAAAACTGGCAGAGTGCCAGATATTGACTAGTAACAATGACTAGTGGTGTAACAAAACTGGCAGAGTGACAGATATTGACTAGTAACAATGACTAGTGGTGTGAGAAAACTGGCAGAGAGACAGATATTGACTAGTAACAATGACTAGTGGTGTAAAGTATCTGGCAGAGTGCCAAGTTTTTTAAAAATCCTTAATAATAGTGTAACATACTTGAAGAGTGCAAGTTATTGAGTAGCAGCCACATACAAACATATAATTTGAATATGTTATGATACAATAACTTGGAAGTTTTTGAATTTGTTGTTACTCAAGATCTTGTGTTTTATTTTTGTGCATTTATCATTTTCTTAATATTAATTTATGGTTTTACTATAATTAAATATTTTAATTGTTATTGAAAGAAATAGAACAAAACACATTCAGTTCTGATGCTTGACTGCAGCTGTTATTTTTAAGTTTAATATTAACAGTTAAAACCTGTATAATGATTTCTATTAACCTTTCTACCATGTCTTAAGTTTTATTAGAAACTTTAGGAAAAAAACAACTGTCACACTTCTTGTATTGCTCTTAAACTTCAACCAAAAAAGTGATTTTTATAAAATTTTAATTACTATTTTAAACTGCAGGTTGATGTATATGTGAGTTTTAGTCTTACAGAGAAAAAAAAAATAAGAAGTACGTTATCTCATTTAATTCACATTAAGTTTTGAGAACAAGCGGACATCAAATTATTCTGCCGTTACAAGGCCGTTATTGACCTGTTCTATCAACATTTTTCAGGTTTGGTTATTTGTCGGTCTGTGTTCGAAAAAACAACAGAGAGTAGGAAATTCTCTACTCATGTTGTCTTGATTCCCCCACCTCATCCTCATTGGATAAGAAATACAAGGGTTATTTACATATGGTAGCCCATTTTTATTATAACGTTAATATGATGACAAACTGCTCTTGTGAGGTAAATTCGAGTGTTCTTATCTAATGTCTGGAATAATGTTTTTGTACGTTCTTAGTACGTTTAATACGACGGTTGACATCAAGCTACAGCAGTGGGCAGACAAATCGTTGCCAAAGAAATGTGTTGAGGTAAGTCACTAGTGGTGTATTTTCTATCATGTGAATATCAAACTATAAACAGTAAAATTACTAAGGCAGATAACATTTTGGTACACAGTTGTATGACATGTAAATTATTCAATCTGTGGAGCTATATCAGTATTTGTAGTTGTTTGAGCTTGTAATACTCATTTCAATATTCACAGGCTAGTTTTACTAGTAACTTAAGAGTATAGTAATAATATGCACATTAATTGAGCTTGTAATACTCATTTCAATATTCACAGGCTAGTTTTACTAGTAACTTAGAGTATAGTAATAATATGCACATTAATTGAGCTTGTAATACTTGTTTCAATATTCACAGGCTAGTTTTACTAGTAATTTATAGTAATAATATGCACATTAATTGAGCTTGTAATACTCATTTCAATATTCACAGGGTAGTTTTACTAGTAACTTAAGAGTAATAATATGCACATTAATTGAGCTTGTAATACTTGTTTCAATATTCACAGGCTAGTTTTACTAGTAATTTATAGTAATAATATGCACATTAATTGAGCTTGTAATACTTGTTTCAATATTCACAGGGTAGTTTTACTAGTAATTTATAGTAATAATATGCACATTAATTGAGCTTGTAATACTCG